TGCGCATGCAGGTGGAATGCCAATGCAGTCGTCACAGTTTCATCTAACCACCTCAGCCAAGAGCCTGTTGGAAGTGCGAAACGCTCCTCACGACGCTGAAACAAAAAGATGGACATTCCTCAACCATAATTGATCAGAAAATACAATGAGGGCAGGGGTGGAGTAGATATAATGGACCGCCTCCTCGGAAGCTATCGACCGAGACTGAGGAGCAAGAAATAGTGGTGGAACATTTCCAGCAATGGTTTCAACATAGCTGTCGTCGCAGGATGGCTCCTCCACTGCGAGATTCACAAGGGTAGTGATGCCGCCATGACGCACATCGCCTTTCGGCGGGACGTCACCATGTCCTTGCTTCAGTTCAAGCAGAAACTCACTGTAAGACCTGGACCCTGGGTTCATTCGAAATATGAGGACAGAAACACTGATGGCCACTACATCATCTCAACGACTCAGGGAAGGTGCGCGGAATGCAAGAAGAATACAACGAATCAGTGCCAGCAGTGAAAAAAGCAGCTGCACAAAAAAGGCTTTGCCGCCTACCATGGTTTGTGATTTGCTCACTGTAGTACAGCCAGTAGTATGAAAGAAGAAATTTTCATAAAGTGTTGTTATAAATATCTATACTTTTCAGAGACTTCGTATGACGCTAAATATTATTCTTCCGTTATCCTGAATAAGGAAACCCGACTGAAAAGTCAATAAAAGTTGTTCCAGAGAAAATGTGTGTTTTGCATATGGGAAATGCCAATGTTCCAAAAATGGAACATGCGAAAAAACATGCTTAGTCATTCTGAATGTGGCTGTATTTTTGATCATAGTTAATTTAGAAGGCCAATGCAAATTATCAACATAAATTTCAGTTTTTTTCCTATTGCTCCATAGTGCGACATTTAAAAGGTTAATGACATTTGGTTTCGTTCACCAATGTGCGTTAATAGAATCCGTGGACAACAAACTTTAAAAAAATATTCCTGTGATTTTCTACACTTTCTTTCACTTATTTGGCAAAATATACTCAAACAAATGTTCGTTTGAGCTACATAAAATTATGAAACATTCCCCTGTACTTTTCGCACGTTCCTTTTGTGTGAAAAGCAAAAGAGCGATTTTTTTCGCTCTTGAAAAGGACATAAAAACGTGCTTCAAGTTTTGACGTTCATCATCATCATCAGCCTGACTACGTCCACTGCAGGACAAAGGCATCTCCCATGTTCCGCCAGTTAACCCGGTCATGTGCTTGCTGCTGCCAATTTAAACCCGCAAACTTCTTAATCTCGTCTGCCCACCTAACCTTCTGTCTCCCCCTTCTCTGGGAATCCAGTTAGTTACCCTTAATGACCAGCGGTTATCCTGTCTACGCGCTACATGCCCGGCCCATGTCCATTTCCTCTTCTTTATTTCAACTATGATATCCTTAACCCCCGTTTGTCCCCTAATCCACTCTGCTCTCTTCTTGTCTCTTAAGGTTACACCTACAATTTTTCTTTCCATTTCTCGCTGCATCGTCCTCAATTTAAGCTGAACCCTCTTTCTAAGCCTCCAGGTTTCTGCTCCGTAGCTAAGTACCGGCAAGATACAGCTGTTATATACCTTCCTCTTGAGGGATAGTGGCAATCTACCTGTCATAATTTGAGAATGCTTGTCGAATGTACTCCACCCCATTGTTATTCTTCTAGTTACTTCAATCTCGTGGTTAGGCTCTGCGGTTATTACCTGCCCTAAGTAGACATAGTCTTTTACAACTTCAAGTGCACTATTACCTATCTCGAAGCGCTGCTCCTTTCCGAGGTTGCTGTAGATTACTTTCGTTTTCTACAGAATAATTTTAAGACCCACCTTTCTATTACGGAGTTAGACAAGGAGAGCAGAAAGGTGGGTCTTAAAATTAAATCAGTTTCGACGTTGGGAGCTGCTAAATCAGGAAACCGCAAGTTTTTTTTTTTATGTACAACGCTTGCAACCTTGAAACCGTCTATAAATTTCAGTTACAACAAGGGGTTACATACAGGGCCTCCAATTTTTTATTATTTATATAAACTATATTATCCACGTAACCAAAACATTGATTGATTTGTGGGGGTTAATGTCCCAAAACCACCATATGATTATGAGAGACGCCATAGTGGAGGGCTCCGGAAATTTCGACCACCTGGGGTTCTTTAACGTGCACACAAATCTAAGCACACGGGCCTACAACATTTCCGCCTCCATCGGAAATGCAGCGCCCGGTATTTGAACCCGCGCCCTGCGGGTCAGCAGCCGAGTACCTTAGCCACTAGACAACCGCAGCGGGGCGTAACAAAAACTTTCTCTGTGGCCAGGTATGCAGGCGATACGAGCTTGTTTGATTCTGGCCGCCATTGGGAGATCTAGAGAAGAAAGCAAACAAGTGCTTGTCTTCCCTTCCATAGCCACATCAAGCCTACTACATTTATACGTTTTTACAACAAAACTCATTTTATTTAGGAGCGAAAATAAGTGTGAAATGATAACATATTTGTTTGGTTTAAGAATAGTGTGATTGAACGTGGCCCTTGGTTTAAATTTTTGGGTATTCTCTTTATGAGAACGTTATCCGGACAACGCAAATAAACAAAGTTCATGCCAGTATTTCAAGGTTGATTTCTGTTCCACACAAATAAAGTTCTGTAGTTCCACACTGGCTGAAGCTTCAGATAAAAATCGCTAGCTCACTAAAATCTACATTATCGTCGCTTAATTTGGGGCAAAACTTAAAACTAACCTAGATAGGCTATCAGATATGCAAAAGAGGATGTCAGCTGCGCAGAAAATCTGCAACCAATAGAACACGCACACTTGTCTGTGCATATATATATATACATATATATATATATATATATATATGTATATATATATATATATATATATATATATATATATATATATATATATATATATATATATATATATATATATGTATATATATAATAAGAGAAAGAAGTGTATACCTAAGGGCTCGTTTTTCCGTGTTTTGACACAATATTCATGAGATCTAACAGACAGTAATGCCAAGGAATGTACAGGGGAAGTTATTAGAACCAATGGAATGTAAATAAGAAGGAAGAACAGTGGATGAAAAAATAACCAGCCGTGAGCAGGAATCGAACCTACGACCTTCGAATAACGCGTTCGATGGTCTAACCACTGAGCTACCACAGCGGCCTTCCCTCCATCCACATTTTTTTGTGGGGGGGGGGGGGGCTATATGTGAATTTAGAAGTAGGAGTGACAGTCAGCGCCATCTATAAGCCAAGCGACGAGTGTGAACCACTCTTTTATGCGCATGTTTGGCGTCACGTAGCACGTGAACTTATTACGAGCGGGCAGCTCATTAATAGTCCTTCGTATACAACCTAATGACACCAACTCTGCCAATACGAGACCCTCGTTAAATGAAATAAGGGAAAGAAGTGTATACCTAAGGGCTCGTTTTTCCGTGTTTTGACACAATATTAATGAGATCTAACAGACAGTAATGCCAAGGAATGTACAGGGGAAGTTATTAGAAGCAATGAAGTGTAAATAAAAAGAAAGAACAGTGGATGAAAAAATGGATGGTAGCTCAGTGGTTAGAGCATCGAACGCGTTATTCGAAGGTCGTAGGTTCGATTCCTGCTCACGGCTGGTTATTTTTTTTTGGTTATATATATATATATATATATATATATATATATATATATATATATATATATATATATATATATATATATTGGTGAAGAAATCGGTACCTACTGTAACTATGGGGGTACATTGCTACCAAAACAAGGCTCCCTGTGATCTATGATTCGATGGAGTTAGGCTATACAATTATTTCGGACAACTTACGGGAAGCAAACCTTGTTACATGAAATACCTAATCTACTTCACAACAACTACAGCTTTATCCATGAAATAATAAAACAGGTATTACTATACACAGTTTTAAGAAAATGGAAATGTGTCTTTAACTCTTGTACAGTGCCCTACAGATGCTATAATGTCCAATATTTCGGTATTTTTGTTATTTTTATTGTGCTGAAGTCACTCATTTCTTTTATAGTGTTGCGTCTTTTGATCTAATATGTTCCTGGTTTAAATTTTTTACATACTTTGGTAATCTCACTAGTGTGATAGCTGTTGATCGCATACCACTGCATTTTACAGTGCGTTTTCCCGATCGGCTTTCTCTCTTTTAACTTCATTTTTATGATCCTAAAAAAGACATCACTGTAGTTTTATGTTCCCCTGAATCTGCGAAAGTATATGGGTTGAGGTTGAAGTTAGGCAGAAGCCGTCGCCCTTCAGTCCCTTCAACTCAGGCAGTGTTTGTCTGAATAAATTGAAAGTTGAATTCAATATTGAGGTATGGTAAGTGGTGAAAAAGTGAAGCTGGCGGAAATACGCTCAAGCTCACAGGTTTGCTGCTACCCGTATCAACAGTGTGGGTAGTTATCAATATTCTTCCTAAGGCTTAAAGGCAACACACTTCAAGCCTTAGCGAAAGATTTTGCGTTTTCATTTAGATTAGCGGTGTATGGAGTCCCTGTAGACATTATAATACCTCGTGTTTCTCTAGTATACGGACCTTTAGAAATAGGGACTCAAAATAAGAGCCAATGAAAAGATCATGATGGCGCTATTTACGTGCCTTGGCCTGTTGAAAAATCAAACCTGCTGAAGCAACGAAGGTGTCCTTCTCTTCTGTAATTTGCGAAGAACCGGCGACACACCAAAGCTGTGACAAGTGAGATGGGTTATCTTCTTTCTGTCATTTTTTTTAACTTCCTCTCTCCGTCACCACTTCGTGATCTAAATATTGTTCATGTGTTCATTGTATGTCTGAACAACAGTGAAAACTTTGGCCATGTTTTCTTATGAACCCCAAGCACTCCCCTTCCCTCCATTCCTTTTTTGTGAAATAAGCAAGGTTTTGTTGAATTATTAAGAATACACCATGCCGTAACACTTCCTCATCACACGCCGTCATTTGTCCGCAGGACTACTTCCAGAGGATATTGTCGACCAAGAGTGAATTCCGCGCCAAGGCTCTGTCGTTTGTGGGCTTCGTGGGCACATTACTCATGGCAGTTCCGCCTGTGCTTATAGGTGTTGCATCCAAAGCAACAAGTGAGTAAACTAGTTTTGAATGCGAAGCATTTTTTTTTGCGTACTGCAAGCACATTGAGCATCTATCTATCTACCTGTCGATCTATCTATTTATAGGTTTGCACAGGGTTTTCCATCAGACGGGGGAAGGTTCGTCGCAGCACCCCCCCCCCTTACCTTATACGTCAATGTGCGGAACAAACTTCCCCCTTCCTAATAATTCAATTTATCAGGCAGATTTTTCGCCCCCTTTTGATGTGATTAGAGAGCCCCCCCCCCCTGCCTTCTCGTGCTATCTATCTATCTAGCCGCCTACGTTCGTGTGCTCTCGCCATCACCCCCTTGTTTTGGGCTAAACCAAGCTTAGTATGGGAAAGTACGATGGTATGGGAAAGTACGAAGCTCATTTACACCCAGAAGGGTGTAAATGAGCTTGTCCCGTGGACGACACCCTAAGGGTGTTAATTCAGCACCTTCTAAAAAGGGTGCTTTTTCATGCACCCTTAGAATAGGGTGTACATGTAAAAAAACTGTAGGGTGTTACAAAAACACCCTTAAGGAAGGGTGCCTTCGATGTCCATCACTTTTTTAGCACCCTCTGAGGAGGGTGCGAGAAGGGTGCACAAGGGTGTTGAGTGCCCATGGCAGGGGTGCCAGTATTCTTTTAGACTGCACTAATAGATATCGGCATGCACTGATTACACACTACTTGAAGAAAGTGGTCCTGATTATCAATGGTGCGCCACCTGTCGAGCTCCATTCATTGCGTCTGGGCAGAAATATAAACGTGTACTATCGTGTATGAACTTGTGCTGGATCTATATATACTTCACAGTATATGCATAATGCGCGTTACAGAAAATGAAGCCTTGCTGCCCTTGCATATTGCGTTTATTTATTAGGCAAATAAAACATAAACTTTTCTTCTGCCACACAACTTTTTCACCAGATAAACGTTCATGTATACGTACACTACACATGCAACACCTCAAATGTTTAATATATTTATTCAGTTTCACTTCATTGACAATTCTTTGCAACATACAATTACACTGGTTTCAGTTTAGTATACTGCTTCAAGTACATAATGACTACAAATGAAATATACGCTAATATATCCCTATAATTCTTTCAAGAATCTACAATCCCAGTGGTTTCCAGTTTGATACTCCTTCATGTACACAATCGGTTAATAGGAATGAAATACAGGCAAATATATACTTATGATTCTTTCGAATATATACAATCACCATGATTTCACTATATACGCCTTCATGTACACAATCGTTCCAAAGAAGTGATGCACACAAAACTATATATGGATAGTGTTTTCAAATGTATACAATCACAGTGGATTAAGCTTTGTATTCCTGGATGTATAACAATTGGTTATGAGAAATGATGTACATGCAAACATATACGGGTTTTCGCACATATAACTTTAGTGAATACTTAAGAAACCAATACAATGATCAGAAACACAATAAGCTAAAAACGAACACAAAACTGAGTCAAAACACACAAAAAACAAAAGAGGTAATGCATAATTATGGCTAATGACACAGCTGGGTCACTTTATGCCAAATGTCCCAGCCATTTTGGCAACCATCTCAAATGTATTCGAAAAACTCGTGCTGCATTGAAAATAGTGAACTTCTGGAATATATAGGAGAGGAAAAATATTTGGTCACGTGGCTGCCCTCGGAACTTCCTGGAATGCCGTCTAGGTGTTGTATGTGAAAAATTTTATTTTAAAAGCACCGCTCCTTCTTTCCATACGAAACTCGGTCTACGTATTACGTAACAAGAGCTTAATTCGAAAGAGTTGGTTCATCGTGGTTGTGTGCTAGTCACAGCGCGACAACTTTAGGAAGAGACAGAAAGGACAGGAAAGAGCACCGACTGTCAACTGAATTTAATGAATGTGCTACGAGCGCTTTTATACGGAGTACAAGAACCGTGTTCATGCGCGACGACACGTGTGAGCACTACAAAACAATCTTCACTGTGAAAAGAATACTCCCTCTCGGAAAGGATAAGTGAACGTGTAGTGATGCACTGATCATTGGTTTACCGGATAAAAGATACTTCTACAAACGTTAAATTGGCATTAAGTAAACCTATTCTCGTGACGAATGGGGCAAGATTGACTATTCCTGTTGCTGTTTAGTACACACACTTTGTAAAGCTTGCAAGGGGTGGAAAACAACACGCTAATATCATATCTGCTGGCTATTTTTTTTAATTGTGAGACACATGATGTTGTATAACATGCAAAGGTTTTGGTCATTGTTTTTTGTTGGTCCTGTCTTCTTTAACTTTACTTTCTGCAGGAGGATTTCGCAAATGGGTGTGATGATTCTGTTGGGATACCCAGCATCTTTTAGTCTTTTAATCTGGTTTTTAAACCTGACCTCACCCTTATGCTAACATGACTTATGAAGGGTGGCCTGAGTACATGTGGTATCAATTCCTCTTTTTACTAATTTTGAATGCCCACTATGAAAAGGCAGAACATTCTTAGCACTCCTGGGCTGATAGCACCAGCCAATACCCCAACAGCATCATCACACTTGTTTGCGAAACCCTCCTGCAGAAAGTAAAGTTAAAGGAAACAGGACCAAAAGAAAAAGAGAATGACCAATCACCTTTGCATGTTACACGGTACTACGTACATAAGGTGTCTCACAATTTTAGGAAAAGAGCCAGCAGATATGACATTGTTGTTTTCCACCCCTTGCAAGCTTTCAAAAGTGCATGTACTTACAGCAACAGGAATAGTCAATCTTGAGCCATTCGTCACTAGAAAAGGTTTGCTGAATGCCAATCTGATGTGTATAAGATGCCGCTAACATGTGGAAAAGTAAACATAGGACAAACTGGGCAATGCTTCAATGATCAAGCAAGACAGCATGCTTTAAATGTTAAGAAGGGCTATAGTAGTCTCATGGCCGGGCACCGTAAAGAATGTAAGTGTAGTCCTAGGTTTCATAAAACACGGTTTTTGAAAAAAAAGCAAGCAGAAAAATGAGAGATTTTAGAACTCTTTATCAGGAAGGCCAAGGATCGATGCATCAGTACACCTTCACTTATCTTTTCCCAAAAAGAGTATTCTTTTCTCGGTTAAAATTATTTTGTCATGGTCACACATGTGTTGTTGCAGATGAGCCCTGGTCTTGTGCTCAGTATAAAAACGCTCGTAGCACCTTCAATAAAATTCAGTTGACAGCGCTCTTTACTGTCCTTTTTGCGATAAGATTTTTATTACAGAAAAAATTTCATTTTCTTACAATTCAGGTCTATAGATTAGTTTTCATTGTATCGCAACATGGAGCAAATTGCATCTCAATACGGACAAAAATCACAATTTTGTGAAATTCGTGATATTTTCTCGTATATTTCAGCAGCTTGAGAGGTCTAAAGATATTTTTTCCTCAAAATATACCTTCTGTGAAGTAAGTATTCACTGCTCAGATATTCATACAAAGTGCAATATTGCAATAAAAATGCAAACATAACACATTTTGCCTTTATTCTTGGAAGCAAATGTGGCAAAAAAATTGCACTATTATTATTGAGCTTCAAATACCTTACAGAAGCACATTTACTTAACAGGTAGACCGAATTTGCTTTAGAAAAAATAAGCGGTAGATTTAAAACGAAATTTTCCACAAACAGCACACAGACGGCATTATGCCAGGAAGTTATAAGCCAGCCACATGAACAAAACTTTTTTTCTCGCTGAAATATTCTAGCAGTTCACTGTTTTCAACGCAGTAAGTCAGCACTTTTTTTTCAAATACAATTCAGATGGTCGCCAAAGTGGCTGGGACGTTTGGCATGGAATGGTCCCGCTATATTTGAGCAAAATAACTTACACAAATAACAATGTTTGTTCATCTACCATGACCACACTAGAAAAAGTTGTTCAGGCATTGTGACACTAAAATTTTCAGCGTCGTACTGCCTGAACAACTTCTTTGATAAACTCCAAACTCACGCCGAGAAAAAGCCGCTCAATCACGGTGGATTTGAAAGGCCTTGCGGCCGTAGACAATGTTGAAAATAAAAAAAAAATCAACTCATCATTGCTGTCAATCCTTCTTCGTCATTACTGCCACGGAAGATTTTTCGGTTATCCATGTGGAGGTTCAGGAAGTAGGCTTGCTCTAGGCTGGGGCCGGGGGGTAGACTACGCAGGACGTCAGCGGCACCCTCTCATCCTGTAAAAAGAGCAAATATGATTTCTCATAAAAGGATGTTCGTGCAGTTCTGGCAGCACCATATATAAAGAATGTGTAGTGTGTATCCTTCGAAATGGCGTGTAATTGACTTTACACTGAACTGGAAGCATACAACCCATACATTCCAATAATTTCGTATGATAAAGATAAGAGTTTTCCAGCATACAGCAAATTCCCGAAATGAGGTGAAGTTGTAAGACTACAGCTCAAAAATGGCACTTACGAAAGCCTGAACTCACCTAAGAATCAAATTCCTTCTAGGGTAGTGAGCCAGTGTGAAAAACAATTCCTAAAGTACAACGTTAAAAACATGTAACATTAATCAAAATGCACAAGAAACTTATCTCTTCATGCACAAACAGTGAAGACATCTCTGCTTTCTCTTTTACATGAGAACAAATGATCTTGGGCGTGTCACTAGCGAAGAGGTCTGCAAAAAAAAGTAAAAGATTTACTGACTTTAATCACGCCTCTAACAATCTGAGGAATTTTTACAAGTCACCAATCAGTGCAATTCTGACTGCCTCTATAAGCGCATCAAAAACGAACAATTTTCTCGTTCTTTCTACTCCCACAAGACGCTCCGTCAATGGAATCTAATCCAAATTTGACGCTGTGCTTCCTATTTGCCTGCTTTCTAGACGTAGGGCTGCGAACATGTGTTTTGTGCACCTAATCTAGCACAGAAATTCGTCATCTATAATTCAATCATCCTAATTCATTGTAATTTGATAAAAGGTGTGATAGCTCGTCCAGTTTTTAAAGAGTTGCGGGCTT